CCGCCAAGGCCGAGCCGCCCACGCAGGAGACGCTCTTCCGCGGCTGAGCCGGGCACCGTCGCCCCGGCCCGGGCCTGCCGGCGGTCCCTGGAGCGGGCGCGGGTGGTGCTGGCAAATAAACGGAGCTTTGGTTGCAAAAAGGGAGCGCCGGCTGCCTCGCTGCGGGCGGCGGGAGGGACCGCGGTGGGGTGCGAGGGGCGTTGCATCGATGTGTGTGTGCACATACGTGTGTGCACGTCTGTGTGTACATGTATGTGTGTTTGCGCACGTGCACCGCGAGCCCTTCGTCTGCTGCGCGGGACGAAGCAGACGCCCTCCCTCCCAGGGCGCCGGCCACGTCCCCGCCGGGCCCGCAGCCTGCAGCCCCAACCGGGGGCGAGCTGTGAGCAACCCCTGCGGCGCCGCGGGGGCAAATGCAGCCCCCCCGGGGCCGGGGGCGCCAGCGAATCCCACCTGGGGGGCGGCTTCACCCCGTTACCCTGCACCGCGCAGCCCCGGGGCGGGCGTCTCCGCGGGGATGCTCCCGGTGAGATAAGCCCTGCCGGGAAGGGCGGCTCTCGCCCTTCCTCGCCTTAGTGTGCAGGAGCAGGGGGGGAAACATCCTGGCGGGGCCGCTAGCTAAAACCGGGCCCTCCCCGCTGCCCTCGGCTATTTGCAGCGTTGCCGGCGCCGTGGCCCTTGGCCCCGCGCTGCCGCTGGGGAAGGATGCGGCCCCGCGGGCGCCGCTTCCCGCCGCGCTCCTTCCCGCTCGCCCTCGCGCCCGGGGAAGTGGCCAAGGAGCCCCGAGCTCCTCGGGGACAGCCCCGTTCCGCCGCCGGCATTGGGGCTGGAATAACCCCGGGCAGCTGCTCTGGGCATCCCTGGTGCCAAAGGGGTCCGGAGCGGGGGATGCATTAGAAGTTCGGCACAATGGAGGTGTCTTTCCCAACACCTCCCGGCTTTCCAAACGGGCGGCTGGGGGTGGTGTTGGGAGCCCCCATTCCCGGGGCGAGGAAGCGCTGCGCTGCAGGGCACCCGGCCAACAACACCGGGAGCTGCTGACTTTCTATCCGGCTCTTGGAGATTTCCCTTTCCCTTGGAGGAGGGAAATGTTTTGGGATGAGGCGGCGGAGCAGGGGGGTCGAGTCTTGGGATTAAGGCGGGGGGAAATTGGGAAAAAAGCCAAGGCCGGCGCAGGGGGAAGGGGCCGGGGCCCGGGCCACCCGTCGGAAGGAGATAAGGGAGCTGCTGCCTTCCTGGAGGCCGCGCGGGGCCGGGGGGGCCGGGATGCTCCGAGCGGGGCTCATCCCGGCCAGATCCGGCCGCGGCGCCAGGCGCCCACGGGAGGGAAGCGGACGGGGTGTTTTTCTTCCCGCGGCGCCCCGCTGGGACACACCGACGGACGGATGGACGGACGGATGGACGGCGGCTCCCGCCAAATGGCCGGGCGAGCAGGAGATAAGTGGGGCCGGCGGCGGCAAACGGTGCCCGTTCCGGCCCCGCTTGGTGCCAAAACGGCACCTAGGTGCCAAGCGGGGACACAGCCCCCCCGCCACCGCCGCGGGCACCACCTGGGTCGTGTCCCCCGCCCCCGGCCCCGCTCCGGGTGCCGGGAGCCGCCGCGGGAATAACAGGAAGCGTCGGGAGGCGGCGGGGAGGCTAATGGCTTCTGCAGGCCACCAGCCCCCCCTCCACGCGGAGCGGGCTCCTTCCTGGCGGGAAGGGCACCGGCACGGCGCATCCCGGCGCATCCCGCATCCCGTGCCCACACATGGCTCCGGAGAGCTCGCCACGGCTGCAAAAGTTGGTGTTTATAAAATGTGCTCAGTACAAAGGGTCGGGGGGGGGGATTTGTTTTGTTTTGTTTTGTTCCCCCCTCCCCAGCTCCTTCCTTGGCTTTCGCCTCCCCTTCGCCACTCACGGACACGGCGGGAAGGGAGGCAGAGGGACACGGGGAGGAGCAGGGAGGGGGGATAGGAAGCAGGGAGAGAAGCTGGAAGAAGAGATAAAGGGAAAAATAAAAAGGAAGGAGAAGAGGAAAGAAGAAATGAAAGGAGAAAGCAAAGGAGGACAAGAGAAATGCAGAGGGGAAAGGGAAAGGAAAGGAAAGGAAAGGAAAGGAAAGGAAAGGAAAGGAAAGGAAAGGAAAGGAAAGGAAAGGAAAGGAAAGGAAAGGAAAGGAAAGGAAA